CAACTCAGAGTGGGTCTTGTCCTCCTCTAAGAGCTTGCACTATCCAGCTCAATCTCTCGCCATCCTCTGCCAGTTCTGTTGGTGAATTATTGTCCTCGAGTCCTTGGTCACACCGTCGATCCATCTCAACCTCAGTTTTGCTTTCCTCTTTTGCTTGTTCGGTCCAGCACCCCTTCCATAACTTTTCTGGGTATTCGCTGTTCAGCCATGCGTACCACATGTCTTGCCCATCAATGTCTCTGTACAAGTTGTAGAGTTCATTATTCCTCCTTCTTCTCCATGTTTTACCCTCCCTAACAGAACCGTATATTCTTCGTATTATTTTTCTTTCGAAAATTATGAGATCTTTTTCATCTGCCTTAGTTAGTGTTCAGGTCTGTGAAGCATAGATAAGAACCAGTCTTATCAGTCTTGAACAGCAGTACCTTAGTTTCTCTGGTTAGCAGGCTGCTCTTCATTTGTATTGTGAGTCCAAAATAGCACTGGTTGGCTGCCGTGATCCGCTTGCTGATTTTGAGAGGCATGTTGTGACACCTATTCCCAGATACATGAAATTCGGGACTCTTTTGAAGGAGAAATTTGCTATTTTGAGAGCTGGGGTGTTCATTTGATTATTCTCACCATTCACCAGCATATATTTCGTTTTGGTCTCTTTAATCTCTAGACCAATATTAAGCGCTGCCGACTGAAGAGCAAGAAAGGCGTCCTCCATAGTCTTCCTTATACTCGACACTATATCTACATCGTCCGGCAATATCTGTAATCTTCGATGAATAATGGTTCCCTAGGTCTGTATTGCTGAATCTCGAACTGCTATCTCTAGAGCCAGTATAATCGTATCAGATATCATCATAAGTATACATGTCAATCCATCACCTTGGCATAGACCTTTTCTCGTCCAAAACTCCCTAGAGTGATCTCCTTGAACTTTGACCGTGCTGCAGGTTCCTTCCATGGTCATCTTTAACAGTCTGGTCAGCTTTTGAGGGGTACCCAGGTCAACCAGAACTTTATATAGATTTGCTTTGTTGACGCTATCATAAGCATTCTTGAAATCCAGGAATAAATGGTGGGTTGACATTCGGTACTCTATTCCTTTCTCTATTATCATACTCATATTATCATAATCTCAAGTGAACACTTGGTCAATAGTGGACCTTCCTTTTCTGAAGCCCGTCTGATGCTCAGCCAGCTAATCCCAACCATTCGCTCAGCATAAGGAGATAATCTGTCATACATGATAACAGACAGGACTTTGTATGCACTAGGGAGGAGGAAAATCCTACGATAATTTGAACATATTGTGAGGTCCCATTTCTTGAGGATTGGACAAATTGTACCCTTCTTTCACTCCTCTGGCAGATCCTCATCATTTCATGCTCGGTGAATCAGATTATTCAGCTCCTTATGCAGTTCTTCCCCGCCATACTTGAGGAGTTCTGCAGGTATTTCACCTGGTCCTTGGCATTTGTGATTTTTCAATTGACCAGCAGCCTCAATCACCTCTTTTAGATCTGAAGGAGCTTCAAGATCATCTTCTATTTTGTCCCCCGTACGACTTCTTTCCTCTAGGGCTGTTGTTCCATTTCCCTCATTTAGAACCCCTTAAAAATGACCCCTACTTAAAATAGGGGTTTAATAGTTTGAATAATAACGGTACTGTGAAAATTATTATAGACCAAAGTTTCAGTGACATAATAAATCACATAAGATATTCTAATTTGGATTTAACAAAAAACCTACTTCAATGACTGCTGATGGAAATCTCTTTGTAGTTTATTAGACTGTGATTTTCCCTGTGATTGAATTTAATTTTGAGAGAGCTTAATAAATTCTGTTGTGAATTCAGTTATCTCATTTTGTAAAGCAATTAATTTTTTTTTTTTAAGGTTTTTTTAATGAGATCACTAACCGTCAGTTTTTTTAATTTTATGCAAAAATGTTTTTACAATTACTGTTAAGTTTTAGAATCTCATTTGAGGAATGATTTAATAGTCTCTATCCATAAAAAAAAGTAAGTATTTATGAATGAATTTTGTCCAAGAGTGTAATCTTTCCATTCCATCAAGCGAGGAAAAAGTAGGCCTCGATTAAATTTCCTTTCTCTTTCTTATTCATGAAACTAGTGAGGACTTAACATGATTTTCTTATAAGATAGCTTCATTATTTCTTTAATTTAAAATTGAAAAATCACTGGAGTAGAGGTTTAAAAATCCATATTTTTATGCCAAAATAGTTCATATTGAAATAAAATATTAAAATTTCCTGCCAACTTATCTAATTTTTAGTTGTTTTGTTTTTTTAAATCTCCTCAGTTTCAGCTACATTGACAAATTTATATCATAATCAACCAATTAGAAATTATGAATTAAAAGAGAGATAACAATGAAATTATTATTTTACACAATATTTATTTTATTACATAATTAAATATTAAGAAAAGGTAAAAAAAAAAAAAAAAAATTGGAAGATCGAAATAGTTGTGAAAGTATAAAAGTAAACTAAAAACACTTTAATATATTTTTAAAAACGAATACAGTTTTAAATATTTCACATGAAATATACATATTTTAATGAATCATAAAATATATTCATAACAATAATTTAAACGTTAAGTAATATTATACTATATTAAAAAAATGAACTTGTGAAAATCCTCTGCTTTAAATAGATTGTTGATTTTAATTGCCCAAAGATTTTATTTTGATTAGTTATTATTATTCTGATTAGATATTATTCTGATTCTAATGATTAGTTTTGATGAGCTGTTGCATTATGACCACTTCGTAGAAAAACACTTTGCTATCAGTTTTACTTTCCTACCTATACTAGGTAAGGAAAGTATTGCATTCGGGTCAAATTTCCGACATACGGTTTTCAACAGGTCTATACCTTTCACAGCCTCTTTAGTCCGAAAAACACATTTTTTTTTTTAAAGAATAATTTAGACGTGTAGGTAAGAGCCATAGCAGCTAATAGATTTTAAGCCTCTTTTTTTATGGATCAATGGTTCATGTTAAAATACTTGTTCATTAGATAAATATTATTATTGTTATTATTAGATAAAAATAAACAGATACAACTGATTTTACAAGTTTAGATTCCCCAATCATTAAGTTCTATTATCAATCATAATAATCATGAGACTTGGAGCCATAAATAGAAATATTACCAATTAAATACAATAAATTTAATTAAATTAATTATATCACTAAATTATATAAAAATAATACCAATTTACTTCTTTTTCAAACTTTTTTTTTCTCATATATTACTATCTTTGATTTTATTTTACAATGGACTATTTTGGATTGTATATTGTCCCTTTTATTTACTATTTATCATGAAGATAATAAATTACTTTTTTTATTTTATTAATTTATTTTCAAGTAGAGGCTTTAGTGCTGAAGCCCTCCCCAAAATGGTAAAATATAACCGTGTATTATGGAAAAAAATTATCTCTTAAAGCTTTACTGTTCGTTTAGTTATATTTAATAGGACTTCAAGAATCACTTAAACACCATTTCATACGGGTAATTAGTTTCTTTCTTTTTTTTTTTAAAGTAATTACGTTATATATATATGAAAAAAAAAGTTTTTGGTCTGAATCCCTCCCCAAAATCAAATTCTAGATCCACTAGTGGTTACCACTTGTACAATAATTTATGTTTTAAGCTTAAACATAACACTTCTTTCATAACCCAATCATTTCATACAATCTGTCAAAAAAAGAATTGAGATATTTTTTTTTACTGTGATACATTTGCCTAATGGTCAGAAATAAATTAATCAAATGAGTCTTTGATTAATTTATTTCTGACCATTAGGCAAATTTATCACTGTAAAAGAACAAAATTAAACCTGCATAATGAATAATTGTTTTTATTATTATTATTATTCCAAAACTCTCAGTTAAGGGCTTTGCCCTGTTGCCAATAGTCCGGTTATAAATATTAGTTTTAAAATAAGCCTAAAATTTACTATTATTAGATATGGAGTTAGTATTAAATATTATCATTGTGAATCATACCATAAGGAAGTGCAATTATTTTTTGTTGGTGCTGAATAAGCTATACGCTCTACTTTATAACGTTGATAAATATAAAAAGAAATATCAATCAATCACATTCATAACATTGTATTTTACTTAAATATGTATCTTAAAATAAGCATTTGTTTTATTTTTGATTTGTTAATTAATTGAATTGATCATCTTATTTATTTTATAATGCTGTGTGTATTTCTTGAGCAAATAAATGACCATGAATATGCCTTATTTTTCATCAAATCTTACCAGCAATATTAATTTATAATTTTTTTAAGTAACATTACAAGATTAAAGTACCTTTAATATTAATTTTTATAACTAAATTGGCTGAGCATAGCATGAAAGAACTGTTAAATGTTTTTCAGTCTAACAAGAATTTATTCTGGACTGGAATAGGAAACTATATTTATAAATAGATTAAGTGTTAACTAAAACCTGGCTTTAAGTTCAGAATCAAGTAGCCTTCTATAGATTTGTGGCTAAATTTTTTTTTGCAAACCTCTGTTCATTGACATCTTCTCACTAATATAATTCTACTCAGTCAAAAATAGCCGTGCATTAGTCTTTTGATATTCTGCTAAAAAGTAGTTCCCTGTCAAGAGCTTGGCATTTGTCCACCCCTTTTCCACTTCTGCCAGTATTTGTCTGGACTCCAAGCATAGTTCACAGTTTAGAGTCAAATCACTGATCAGAATTTCTGTTTTTGTTTCTTTATACTGCTCCTGCTCTTCAGGGATGTTTTGTGATTACAAATCTTTTTATTATTTATATTATAAGTTTGTTTACCAAAAATAGTTTTTAATGTACACTTATACTTCTAAATAATAAATGATAAACAATGGATGGATCTAAAGAAATCAGTGTTTTTCTCGGGCTTTTTACTCTTTCTTTTATATCACTTTGGTTATGGTATTCACATGTTGTCTTATTTGGAACTGGATTCGCCATAGCAATGACAGTTTGCAGGCGAAACCTACCAATCAAAGCAGGTACTGTTGCTGATACTATTAATTTACTTTATTTTATCCTATACTTTTATTTATAACTTATCCTAGTATTATAAGTTGTATTCTCAATCAAATCTCATTTCATTTTGATTCTGTTCTTAGGTGAGGTTTCATCCAAAAATAATGAAGAACCAGTTGGAAAAGTAACCAGATCATCCTACTCTTATCAAAGTCCCAAAGACAAAGATAGCTTACCCAGCATAACATCATCGACGACAACATCTGTAATAGGCAGCCGAAGGAGTTCTGGTCCTAAAATAGAGGAAATTACAGACTCTGATTCAACTTTCGAAACTAACAGGAGATACTCAAAAGAATATACAGTGGAAGAAGACGAGGCTGTTGCAGACAGAAGAAGTTCTGCTGTATCAGTGGAAGGAAATGTGAAAACATACACGTCAATATTGAAAAATTCTAGTGAGTCAGGCCGTCGTTCTTCTGGTCCGAGAATTACTGATGTTACCGATGTAAATAGTGAACAACAAGAAAGGCGAACTTCAATTACTACAACCATCTCCTCAAGAGTTTCACCTGATAATGCAGAAGCAAAATCTGCCTCCTCAAATCGTCAGCAGAGCTTTAAAAATGAGGATAATAAGACTGAAACGCAGAAAAAAGTTATAACACGAGGTGATTCAGTTAAAGCTCTTCAACATAAGTTTCAGCAAGCCACAGGTAAAGGTTTTTCAAGAGTTATTTTATAAAAGTTATTTAAACTATTTGTTCTAAACTTTTTTAAAAATGATTTCTTTGTTTCCAACATCAATTCTAATTTTTAGTTTCATTTTTCAAATTAATTATTTATACTAATTGCTTTTTTTCTCTTTTAATAATTGAAAGCACCTTTTTCCATACTTATAATTAATGAAGCAAAGCAAAGATGAATATAAAAATATTAATTTAATAGTTTTAATTCTTCAATTTTTATTAGTCTTTGTTTTGATGTATGATGAGTGACTAAACTTAGTACTATGAATTGGCAGCATGTTTTATCAAAGCTGTGAAAATCTTCCCACCTGTGCAACAAAATTAGATGTAGCAATTTTAGATATTTCTTTGAAAATTTGATTGAAGGAAAACTCAATTGAGTGGAAAATTTAATTTATTATTTTTCACGTTTGCAAGCTTATGTATATTATGATAAAAATGACCCACTTTTTCTCAGAAACACTACTCTTTAGAAACTAATATCGAAATGAATTGAAATAATCTATCAATTTTTGTATTATAATTCTTTTTTTTTTTAAGTGGAAGAAATTTTCATCAGCTTTGATAAATATATAATTTCATATATATAATTTTGTGTTTAAAATTATTTGTTTTAAAGTTTTGTAAAGTCACATAACATATTTACAAACCTTATTAACTGTATCAAATGTTAAAAAGATATGAAACCTTTATATTATAACTGTAGTGATGTAAGACTAATATACTTTTTCCATAAACTATTTGAAAATAATTTTCTACTAATCAACTAATGGTGGTTGTGCATGTGATCAGAAGCTGCTAACCAACCTTCATCGAGGCCTTACCCAAGAGCTGGTCTCATCCTCCGCTCAAACACCCTCCAACAAATCGATGACCAAACCCAAAGTGAGTTTTTAATGCCTCACCTATGTTATTTTTTAACATCTATTAAAGAAGACATTTTGTTTTTAGTTTAATCAGTTACATCTTTATTAATATTTTCTTAAATAATTGCATAACTATTCTATATTAACTTTATATGTGGTAATAAACATATACCAAATACATCATAACTTAAAAAATATCAAGAATGGTTAGTTACACAGTCAAAACAAAGTTCATTAACCTATAACCATAGAATTGTTACTATTATTTTTAAAATTAATGCAATAAAAAATGTTAACCAGATTGCTAAAGAGGTTTCTGATGAGTTACATTAATTAATTAATTTATTAGAAAATCAGTTACCCTAATGAAATATTGATTGCCGAATAATAATTACTACTATAATACAATTTTGTTTTCCGGGATATGTATACTAGAATACGGGATTAATGGTATATTCTGTATCATATTATTGAGTTGGATACAAACCTTAAATTATCAATAATTATTGATTATTTCATAACTTTGTCAATACTGAAGTGTAAATTTGGTCCAGGAACAGGTAGAAAGCAAGCGACCCCACCTTTGTAAACATTGCTGTTGACCACTTTTACTTTCAATCTGATGATATCTTTATTTTCATATTTCATAGCTTTTTTAAAACCGTACCTTAATTTTAATTAGAACTTATTTGGCTTCAGGGTTAAACTTTAAAAAATACTTTCGATTTCAGAAGCAGGTAGATTTTTTTTTTAAGTTATGATGTATTTCTTAATGGGTGATATTTACATAGACGTTTTATATTTTCATTGTTTTATTAAGTGGTTTTATAATTTTATTCAGTGTCTTCATCAATGAAAACCTCGAGTGTTGAGCGAACAAGTTCTAAAAGTAAACAAGAAATAAAGGAAACAAAATCACATGAAGTATCATCTAGCCCCGTTTTAAAAACTGAAGTTATAACCCATCAAGATTCTGAAGTAGTTCGAAGTACCAAGAATTCTAGTTCCGAGGAACCAACTTCCTTTCTAGACAACAGGACAAAAGTTACTGGTGTTCAGGACATTTTAACGAGAATGAGGAATGCTGATCTAGGTATTCTTTTACATTTAATTTACTTTAAATTTACTCTAATCTTTTGATTACTTAATTAATTATTATAATTATTTCAGTGACTGAATCAACAGACAGTACTGAAGACGCAGAAGCTAGGGCATTGTTAAATAAGTTCCTGGGTGCCTCTGTTATCTTGCAGGGAATGGAGCAAGGTATGAGAGCTGCTCAAAAACAACCAGAAACTGAAGGTCCTCCCACAGCCCCATCGAGCGCCGCGCTTGTCATTCAGGCTGAAAAGCAGCGAGTCAAGGTAAGTTTTTAAATCCATCGTTCATTAAAATAAAATCTAGGAGTAATCTGCGTATATAAGAATTATAATTAATGTGCATGTCAAACGTTAGGCTACATATCAACAGCAATTATAGACTTAAAAAACTAAGTATATTTTTTATAAATTGAAGTCTATTTTGTTTTTAAACTTTTCCACTTCCTGATTTCGTGTTGGCCTTCGACTGAATGCAATAATTTTAGAATATGCTGTAGAAATGGGAAACATTTGTGAAACTGTACGGTTGTCAGGGCAGTGAGCCAAAACAGTATTTAAGCTAGTTTTATAGATTGCTAGCATAAGAACACAATATTATTTAAGCGTTTTTTTTTCTGAAAACTAAAGCCCTTACACTATACATTTTGATGATAATTAATCTGTTTAATATTTATTACTCTTGTTTCCTAATTTTTTATTTCAAAATTCGATAACATTTTAAGAAGCTTACATGTTAACATAGCTTATTTACAAAATATGATAGATTGTTGTTACACATAATTTTTTTGAAATAATACACAATATATTTCACTTTTTATTTTGACCGTTTGATAGAAAAAATTTATTTGAAAATTATGATAAAATTTTATACTTTTAGGCTTTGCAAATGTGGCAATATTTGCCTATTTTATTTACTATTAATTGTTTTATAAAAATTAATTTAAATTTGTAGCATTTATTCACTTAAAATAACCTATAGGATGGTAAAAAATACCTATTTTTAGAAGTTGTATAACTGATTACATGATAAAACCAGGGATTTAACAAAATCGGTTAATGATTAGTTTAATTACAGCTGCGTATGCATGAATAATAGCTTTACAAATTTTGAGAAATCTGGTATGAATTAATTATTATGTATAGGAATTGACAACAGGAATACCATAATTTTAGGTTTTCATTTTACAATAAAAAATATATAACAGGATTTTGTCAACATAAACAAAAAAAAAGTAATCATTGGATTATGTGAACTTTATACCACTCTGCTATAACATACTTTAATGTATTCTAAAAATATAAATTTATAATACCTTCTAATTGAACAGACATGTGTGCTGTAAAACAGAGTAATTTTCAACCTATTAGTTGGACAATTATAAAAAACTGCAACTTAGTCATTGATGAAGCCTCGTGGAGCTTGCTAAGTGAAGTCCTTTTGGAATTTGGCTCTGCATTTATGATTCTAACAGCCCTGATAATAATAAGTAAATGTGATTATTTTACTATTTAAGATTATATTTTTTATAACTTGGCGATTTTTCCAAATTAATCAGCCTCTTCCAATCTGTTTATATCCAGTTAAAAAATATTGATATTTTATTTATTAAGAAGAGATACCATTTATCATTTTTACTCTCAAAAACTCTTTATTTTGAGATATTTTTAGAATTACTATTTCTGTAATTAAATTCAAACTGCCTCGAATAGAAAAAAAGTTATTTTTTTTTTAAATGACTTAAAATTATTTAAATTATTATTGTATTTTGCTTCTCTATTCATGGTAGGAAATCTTTGTCTCCATGTGGGAGTATAATATTTTTTTATCCTATGAATTGAAAATATGCACTTGCATATTATGTTTTAGACTACAATGAACAAATTGGTTCCCTCACTATCTGTTAATTTTCAAATTATATCATAATTTTAGATAAGTGTAATTGTATCCATATTTTAGGAGTTTTTATTACATACAAAAAAAAGGAATAAAAATGTACAGCAGATAGTTTATGTTAAACATCAATGTTTCGGAATATGTCAATATAAACAATTAAATAAAATATTAATTTTTTCTCCCGTTTATTTAATGAAATAACTGACTCACTGGCATAAAATTATTTAAAATCTTGTATTTCCTTCATTAAAAGAAGTAATTAAGTATAATGATGTCTTCAGTTATCAGTAATTTATTATATATTACTTATTAAGAATGACCATACTTAATAATAAAATATAAATTTGATTTATAATTTATTTTAATGTGAATTATATACTCATTTGATAATTTTATATCATATAATTATAAATTTTGTATCCTTTAAAAGAATACCATTCAGTGTATTGATTAAAAGATATAAAGAAAAACATATATATTTTTACATTCAGGTTTATAAATAGACACTCCTTATTTTATAAACACCTTAATTTATTTGTGTATACATCACACTACAGTCAGATCTACAGAAGGGGGCTTTCAGGTTGCAGTCCCTTCCTCCCTCCTCTCCCCCCACCCTCCAAAAAAATGGTAAAATATAACTATCTCTTAAAGTATTATTGTTCGTATAATTACATTTAATAGTACTTCAAGAATCACTCAAACACCATTTTATATAGGTAGTTATATTATATATATTATTGTTTTATATATATGAGGAAAAAGCTTTGGGCCTGAATCCCTTCCCAAAATTCAATCCTGAATCCGCTAGTGCATCAATCAGACCACATCAACTCAAAAATGAAATCTATAAGATAATAATTTATTTTGTTTCTTAAATGAAGTTAGTTACACCAACAAAACAAATGTATTGACAATTCTTTTATTGGGTTATGAAACTCTTGTCAGAAGTTTTCATTCTTAACAATTTGTGACTAATGTATACTTTTTACTTTATATTCACTAGTACGTTCTCAACATTTTAATATAATATATTTAATAAACGTGTTTGGATCTTAAAGTGTTTTTTTTCTAAAAAGGTTTATTATGTTAAAAAAGATATATCTCACTGACTAAGTGCCGGAAGGGTATACCTAAGAAGCATTAAATGGCACATTGAGGGCAAGGAGTTAGTTTTAAAAGCCGGTCTGAAAAAGTCTTGGCACCGAAGTTGAACATGCAATGACGAACTGCAGGCCGTTTGCACCGCGTAGCTCCCCCCGCCCGGCCCCCTGGTTTTAGTTTTAGTTCGAATTGACCACATTTAACTCTGACCCCAATCTATTTGTACACCATTCTCAAACACCTGCCCGCCCAAGGGGCCTACTACCACTCCACATTTGTTGTTTAGTGGTGTTTTTAACCCCGAGTTTATTTTAAACGTTTATGAGAAGGAATTAGTCGAGGGTGCGGTCAAAAAAATAAAAAAAATTAAAATATATAAATAATTTTAATTTTTGCCGACGTTTCGACCCACTTTGCAGGTCGTCTTCAGGGCGTTGGATGTGGCACTGCGGGAGGCGGTTGAAACACTGACAGTGTTTCAACCGCCTCCCGCAGTGCCACATCCAACGCCCTGAAGACGACCTGCAAAGTGGGTCGAAACGTCGGCAAAAATTAAAATTATTTATATATTTTAATTTTTTTTATTTTTTTGACCGCACCCTCGACTAATTCCTTCTCATATCATATCAACGGTCAACCAACTCTACATCATTTTAAACGTTTATTATCGATAATTTGTTTCATCCAACCCTCAGTCGAATTACTATGGATTCTGCCTTTTATCAGCTGATTAGTAATTAGTTATAATGGTCGCGTTTAGACATTTCACAAACTATGTGAAACACGATTAACTAACAGCGATATTATTGCTAATCGAAACTATTTATTTGATTTCTCTTGATACCAAAGTTATAATTCAATTTTCTGTTGTGAAATCAGGAACGTAAGAATCAAGTTACAAAGTGGCAAATACCATCAAGAAATGGAGATTTTTTTTATTAAAACATAATAACAATAAAGTATATACTAATATATTTTATCCACAGTTTTTATTAAAGGAATCGTTTTAAAAAGCATTCTACATATCATGTAGGCCATTGAGCGTAAAAAGTCTACATACGATAATATACCAAAATTCCTGCTTTGATTTCCTAATATTTATTGATCAGTTCAGTAACGATTACTTTTTGATTATGTTATTATTATTTATAATAGTTGGTTCCTAAAGGTGCTGTTTGGTTTGGTTCCCACGTGCTTTCTTCCCATCATTCTTAAATTAGGTTTCTCGCCATGCCCGGTTATTTTTGGACTCCTATTCATACTACCTCGATCCGCGTTTTTTCTTTTCTTTTTGTTTATTGTTTTTGTTTCTCTTCTGCGTATATTTGTGATTAAGATGTCTTTGAACCCATAACCGTTTACGCATCCATTTTACTATATGTGTATTTTTACTTGGACGGAAGAATAAATAAATATTGTAGTAAACTAATTTAGTTCTTTAAAATGCTTTAAGGAACATTTTTAGTGAATACAATGAATCGAACTTTTTTGTATTTTATCTTTTTATGGATTATAAATTAAGAATTTTGAAAATACACCATTTAATAGACGAAGAGTTGATATGTAAAAACCCGCAATTTATATTTCAAATGATATTTCAGTTTATGAAAATTTATATTATCAAGATTCTATATAAATATATGCATATGTTATAAATAAGGGGAACTTCACTTCTTGGTGCTAACTTTACTTTAAAACAAGAATTATTTTTATGACTGGCGAAAAGTTATGAAGTGACAAACTTTGGAAAAAGTTTTATATGAAACTAGAAATTAGTTCTCTATGAAACAGAAAGTTGTTTCTAGAACTTGGAAAAATACTGGAGCTATTCTAATTTTGGAGAAATCTAACCCCTTCCTCTCCATCATCTTGAAAAATTCCCCTGTTTTATAGTAATGAAAAGTGGTAATAGCTAGTAGCAATCAGTAAAAAAATCTAGAAAATATTTTATTTCTCATAATCAAAACGGATTAATACGAAAACGAAATTACGTTGGTTTATGAAGATTTTACTGAATGCAGCCTAGTCATGTTTATAGTGTTTGTGAAACTTAATATGATAAATTCTATGGAGAGTGTTGGTCGATTACGCGATACAGAACCACTATATTTTGACCAAGAAATCTTCAAAGAAAAATGGTTAATCTTTTTATGACAGATTGTATGAAATGATTGGGTTATGAAAGAAGTGTTATATTTAAGCTTAAAACATAAATTATGGTACAAGTGGTAACCACTAGTGGATCTAGAATTTGATTTTGGGGGGGGATTCAGACCAAAAACTTTTTTTTTCATATATATAACGTAATTACTTAAAAAAACAAAAACTAATTACCCGTATGAAATGGTGTTTAAGTGACTCTTGAAGTCTTATTAAATGTAATTACACGAATAATAATACTTTAAGAGATAGTTTTTAATATTTTTTTCTATAAAACATGGTTATATTTTACCGTTTTGGAGAGGGCTTCAGCCCGAAAGATCCATAGATCCGCCTGTGTTTATAGCCACATTTATATTATGACCATAGCAGTAAAGTCACCCGTCATCCATTAGCTATAACACCAAAGAATATTGCATATTCCTTAGGACGACTGCGCAGAAGACAACAACGCTGTTTACGCGGCCCTCTTAGATGCAAACAGCTTGCTCCAGATTTATCTCTTTCATGTTTACATAATGCTTTAATTGGTCCGCCTGGCAGATTATGGCTGGCACTCTAGCCTAGCTAAGGCATCAACACCAAATCTGGGCATGGTTTAATTTAGGAATCTCCTCGCCCCTTTTTGTGAAACTCTTGAAAATTCTTCTTCTTTGGAATAATACGTCACCAGTGACTGGGCTTCGCTATACCATTAGTATGTGTCATATATCATTGAACTTACGCCTCAAGTTATGAAAGGTCTTATAGAGGTTTAATATTATTGTTAAAGACGACTTTCAAGGAAGAATATCAAATAGAATCCTGCAGGGTCAGATCAAAACGACGATCTCAGAATTTCCGAACTCGACTCTTTTGTCTTTCCAAGACTTGCCTTGAGCCTTAAAAAAAAAATATCGACCATGAACGCGAAAATAACTTGTATTTCTTTAGTGACTTTGTTTCCTCTGTATGAGCATCATTCTAATTCATATCAATCTAGTCAAAATTATTTGATTGGTCTACAGCAAGATTTGAAATTTAAAACATTCTCGAATATTGATTGTTTTCTGATGTTTAAACTATTGGTTTTTGTACATATATATGAGAGTATAACAAGTTCATAGAAATGATGCCTGTATAATATGAATGTTTTTTATTCATACATAACTGTGTAATAGAAAAAATGATAATATAAATATGAGGAGGAGTTGGAGGAGAGATGCGGTCAAATAAATACTAAATTTTTTAAAAATAGTATTTTTAATTGTTTCGCCGACGTTTCGCCCCATCTTGCAGGTCTTCATCAGGGCGTTGCATCAGGCACTGTAGGAAGGAGTTGATAGATTGGCCAGTTCAAACAATTAAGAATACTATTTTTTAAAAATTTATTATTTATTTGACCAGACCCCACGACCAACTCCTTCTCATATTATAACACGGTCAACCATCTCTACATCATTATGATAATATAAATACAAATTGTCTTATAACGATTCTAAAAGAAAAAAGTAAGCTAATAAAAAGTCAATTGAAATTTTCAAGTCTTTAATTAACCAGAAGTAACTTAATACAGTGTGAAAGTGAAACCACAAATCAACCCGAGAAACCTTTGTATGCTACTCTAGAAGGCCATGGCTGTGTTACAGGATGGTTTAAACCGGAACAAGGAAGATGTCAAGAATACCGGGGAATTTAGTGATGGCAGAACGCCAATATGTCGGCTCCAGGAAAAGTTACTTCATATTACGGCTTTTCATCACTAGTTTCACAATCTATGTTAGGCCTTAAAAAAATATATGAAATTTGGAATTTAAATTATTTGTTTAGCTTTCGTAATGAGTTTTTTTGACAATATCCATAAAATTACTTATCTCTTCCTTATTTTGAAAAAAAGAAAAATGTCAAAATTATAAAATACTAGTAGGCCCGTGCTAAAAATTCGCACAGCATATTGTTTTCAAATGCCTAATTATTAAGAAAAAAAAATAATGCAACGTATAAAAAGATAACAAAATCAATTGTTACTTTATCCCTAAATATAAACGACAAAGAAAACAAAAATTATTTTAAATCTTCATTAATGTTTGGAACCAAGATGTTTACAAATTTCAATAAGCTGCATCTTTGCTAAGAATTGTCGGATTTCGATGATTTTTTTTCCTTTAGTAGTCTTTTATATGATCATGGGCATAACCAAGAGAAAAGTGTGTAATTTTTTAGTTATTCGCAAATAAAGTGTGTTTTCTTTCATAACTTG